TCCGATTATCAGTAAAACCACTATTTAACCCGGCCTTCCTATTCACTCACTGTCCAGTCTGGAGGCTTGCTTCAGTCTCTGCGGTCTCTCTCTTCTGCTTGCGTTGCTCCCTTGCCTGCTCTGGGTTTTTGACTTGTGTTTTGTCCCTCGCTTGCTGCAGACTTTGACCTTGATTCTTCTTGCTGTTTTGACCCTAGCCTGTTTTTTTTCACTTTGCTCACAGTTGGTGTTTGTGCTTGTCTACCTTGGACTGTTACTTTCTGTCTCAGCTGCTTACCGATTCTGCCTCAGAATCCTTTCACAATCATTACAGCTAGAAATGTCACGCCCCAGCGCCGTTATATTCCCAAACCCACTGTTTCACAATTTCATTCCTAACTGAACCCATCACATTCCCACATGCACCAGATTCCATAAATTCTCACTCCCAGACCAATTATCCAACCACGTCCCTCTCCCTTCAGTATTTTAAGTTCCCTCACACACCAACCCATGCTCACTATTGAGAAGCCTCCCAAAGTATTCTCTTGTGTGTGTTTCTAACCTTTTTGACTGTTCTCCCAGTTCTTAACCATTCCTTCTGCCTTTTTGACCACGCTCTCTGGATTTTGTTTTTCGGATTGTCTTTTTCCTTGGTTACCGGAATCATTGCTTCTCCAATCGACCAAGCCCCTGGATTACGTGTTTTGGATTGTCCTTGTGCTACTCCACATTCTGCAGGATTCGCAGTTACGCATAAGGATCCTCCATTCTACTGATCGGTTCCCTGACAGAAAACAGGTGGATGAATAAAAGGTAGTCCTGGAACATAAAATGTCATTTAGAAACCATTTTATGCTAAATTTGAACTTATTGAGTTTTTAAACATGTAGGCCTTTTGTTTTCTTACACTGACTTATAGTTGGGGTGGCCCTATGGTGCGGAGTTGGCACTGCCGGCTCAAAGCTGGCTGAGATCGATTTCCAGATTGATTGGTTATTCTGAATCATCATTTTCTCCACTTCCCAGCAGTGGATTGACCTCCAATTCAGAGGGAGAGCAGTTACTTGTTCTTAGTCCCACCTTGCAAGCAGCACATCCCGGATGATCTCTAGCTTTTCATACCCCTCACTAGGATAAGTGCCCAAAATTGTTAGATTACAGATTTTTAAGAACATTATGTAAATTCTAAGAATTGAATTTGAAATATCTCTATTTTGATTATTGCTTCCTAATTAGTTTTCAGGAGGAGGCTGTCCATATCTAAGTAGCAGACGACTGCAGAAATACTAAGTAGGCAGATGTACAGTAGCACTAAATTACCAATTTCAGCATCTTTGAATTCCATGCAGCTCTAATTGTCCTAATTGTTTTATTTTTAGGTCCATTGCTCAAGGTCAATGAAGATGAGTTACTGTAGACGATCCAGGAATGCATTGAACCCGTAGATTGAGAAAATGAATGATTTTAAAGAGATGAAGCAGGGCAAAGCCAAACTGAACTACAATTCCATGTTCCACATACATGTCTGAAAGTTTGGTTTTGCTACACACCACCTTAACTTATACTTTGCAACAACACAGAGCAAGTTGAAAAACCTTGAAACCATTTGAAAACATTCCCTTTATTGGTCACACCTCTCAGTGCTGGGAATAAGATTGTTTGGGAAAACACAAGACGCTGTCCTGCCTAAATTGTGCTTTTTTATTTCTGAGATCCAGAAAGTTCCATTATGCATTTCTGTTTTAGCTATTGGCATGACAGAAAATTACAGGGAAATTACTTAGGACATTTCCCTAAGGGCTGTAAATAAATAGAGCTGAAATCTGTTGGAGCAGGGTTAGTACTTTGTACATTCTTTTGTGAAATGTTAATAAACTGCTACCAAAGAAGGCCAACAGGATTAAATATATACAGTATACAAGTGTAACAGCCCTGCTACACAATACTGTCTTAAAATGTATGTTACTAGCAGCTACTTAATACAAATACATTCAGAGAAGATGTAAATAAACAAGTTATTTTTTTAATGTTTGTTTCATATTACATCTTCTAAGTAATATTTTTATGCCAGATATGCTCAAGGTACAGTAGTTGTCAGTCAGCAAGCCCAGAACCTTACACAGGAGCTAGCTGAACAATATGGTGTTGGTGCAAAGAGTAAGGACCAAAACAAAAAGTGGAAAAACTGTGCAGTCAGTAAAGAAGATAGATTACCTTTTACCACAACAATACCTTGACTCACTAATTCGGGTATTAATAAGTAATGTTACTCTAAGTAGTCTGTTTAAAACACATCAAGACATCTTATAATGCTCTTAGGAGTTGACTTATGATTTTCTAAACTTTACTCTGCCAAACCCACTTTTAATTACACATGATAGGTTTATTCCATGCTGAAAAGAGAAAAAAGAAAACACAACATTTCAGCTGTGGAGCCTTCTTCGGGTGTGAGCTCACACCTGAAGAAGGCTCCACAGCTGAAATGTTGTGTTTTCTTTCATCTCTTTTCAGCATGGAATACACTTATTACTTGTTCCTTTGCAGCCTGCGCATGCTGACGCAGCTACCCACCTGAACTACTTTTAAATACTGTGAGATATACTGTATACAGTAAGTGGAGGTTCTTTAGGTGAGAGTGGCTCTTTTATCTGTGGCTGAAGTGAGCTCAGCCATTAACCGGGAATTTGTTTAACTCTCTGCAGTCTTCTTACATAAGCAAGACAATTCCAACTGATGCTTCACAGCTGTGGATTTGTGTGCCAGAAAACTCTATTTAGCTATAGCTCATTATTCAGAGAAGTCAGTTTAATGGATGGCTAATGTATGTGAACTAAAAATTCTCAACGAGAGGAAGCTAGGTCTCTCTTTGACATGTGACCTAACAGAGATCTGTTTTATTAATATTTATAGTGGTTCATATTAGGAAAATGTATCTTGTCACAGCTGTTTCATTTGAAATGTCTGGGTCTATAATTCTTTCAGAACAAAGCTTCAACTGCAAGTGATGGCAGGTGTCAGGTGCATCTCTGACCTCTTGAGATGATGAGGCTGAAATAAGTAGAAATAATTGAACTGTTCTCGATAATCGTAAGTGGGGGGGGGGGAGTTTGGAATTTACATGTAAAATAAACAATTATGAATCAATATCAAAATCTGTGGGGATGAAATTGCAGTATTGCATAGAAACAGCTGCAGGATCGCAATCAAACATTCTGATCTGCCCTCGTGAGATATGCAAGCAATGTTAACCCAGTTTCTGAGTTTCTTTATAATGCAACCTTCTGTGGAATATAGCTCCCTGCCTCACAATGAATTTAGTATTCCTTTTTGAACATGCCAATATTAAGGTGAAAATGAATTGTTTTTAGCATAATGTCTTAGAAAGACAGAGGACTTGGAATTTTGCATAATTTCCAACATCCATGTGTTGGAAAATGGGAAGTGGCACAGAATGACCAAGCCTCGGGGAAGGATGAACTGTGAGAGAGGCTAATTTGCAATTAATTCAGAAATGTGCTTCTAAACAAAGTGTGGTAATTAAATAAGCAAGGAGACTGAAATGAACTATAGCTAACAAGCTAATGAAATATAGCTATTTATCTTTCTTTCCATTTTTCAAGTGGTAGGAGTAGCTATCCATAATGTTTTAATTAGCATCATTACTTTTCAAATACACTTTCTTAATTACTTTTCAAATACAATAATATGACACAAAGAAATGTTTTCAAAACATGATTTTCAAAATTGGAAAACTGCTTTGAGCGATTTGTTGTGTACTTGTTCATTTACATTGGCATTTCTTTCAAATAAAACTACATACAGTACATTTAAACGTATAAATCCAGTAAAGAGACAATAAAACAGTGATATTGTTGAATTAGTACAAGACAAAGGAACTGTTGACTTTGATAAAATAGCATAACAAATCAAAATAAACTGATTTGAGTCAATCCTCATAGATACAGAGTGCCAAAGGTAACTCTGAAAACAGAAGTTTAGCATTGTTTGAGCTCGCTTACTTTAAATAAAATATTAAATGATATTGATTAGTCAATTCTTTTTCGCCCCTTTAAAGGGGTTTTCATATAAGTGGTTTACTAGAATAGTAAGTGGTAGGTTATTATTGGATCATCATCCATAGATAAAATAATAATTGTAAAGTATGGGAAAAAATATATATTTTTTTTTATATTTTTTTGCGCTGGTGCACTGAAGAATGAACAAGCAAGAAATTGTTTAAAAATGTTATTGTAACATTTTACTAAATAAATATTCACAGAAAAAATACAGCATTGTTTATTTGCAGGTACAATGATAGCCATTATATCTTAAGCAGAATAGTCATTTATAATCCTAATTATATTTCAGACTTTGCTAACAAATCAAATTCAGTAATTATAGGAAAGAGTTTGATACCCCATTTAGGAATTTCTAGATGTTCTCTTTTAAAAGAACACAGAATTCATAAAAATCACAGTAATGGGTGCTGCAAAATTGGATCGGTATTTCTGCATAAAATTCAAATACAATAATATGACACTTTTATTAAAAAATAATTCCAAAATTTGATTTTCAAAGTAGGAAAACTACTTTGAAATTGGTTTTGTTCGTAAACCAGATTCATTTTTTTTCATACATTTGCAGTTTATTAAATAGATTTGCAGTTTATTAAAAAACACGAGCTTTTGACAAACGTCTTATAGTACCATACATATCCACAGTTTCCAAATGTTAAAAATATTAATTAAATCTCTTTGCACCAAAGAACTTAAACATTGGTCCATGACTGTTCTAGGCAAGCCCCAGAAAAGACAGGTCTTCTACATACAGAACATTGGCATTGAAATGAATCCTAGAGTGCTTCAGCTGATAAAACAAGTCAAAAGCAGCACCACTAAAGACATCTGGTTATTTACTGTACATTGCATGAGGTACATTCTCATATTTAAAAGGCAATATATATTATTTTTTTAATCATGCTTCCTTGAACTGTGTAAAAAAATTAAACACATTTAAAAACATGTATTCCATATTAAAGCACTGGACATAAAAAAATAAGCATTTCCATTCCACAATTTTAAAACTGATTATGTATTAAGTCCTTGCATTTCTTATGTTATGATGCAAAAGGTGTCTAACGTGGTACTTAGTTTGTAATGTTTGTTGCAGTTATGGACACCAAGATTGGATCAAATCCAGAATACAAGACATTTAATTTAGTCATGCATCCTAGAAAGCCCTGCTTTTTGTGCAGACCTAGAATTGGTGTGAGTCATACTGTGAAATTGTTCTGCTTGTGTAAATACTAGTACATGCAAGAACTAGTTTTGTTTTGGGTTTCTGTATTATCTTAACACGCTATTGTTGTTTTTGGCAAAGTAATAGCCTTGCTCCTACCAAAGGTTATTTATAAAAAGCAAAACTTCTGATGTGTTTCCCAAGTGATAGATCTTTTTCTAACTTATGGAATAAAAGGAACATTCAATATTCAGAATACCATTTTTGTCTATCCCAGATGGATAATATACTCATATAATGATATAATGCTATGTATTTCATTCCGTTTCTGTTACTGTGAATGAGTAAATTAAAATAAACGCAGTCAGCTGCCATGTTGTATTTGTAATAGGACTGAATTCAATATTCTACACAATACAGTTTTGTGTTCTTGCTGAACAATAAAGCATAAAATAAGACAAAAAATAGTGCAAATAATTACTCCACTTAAATGATAAAGGTAATTGACACTTAATATTCCTGAAAAAATAAAGACTTTGAAATGATTCCTAAGATGCAGTTGTGAGCATTGTGCAGAAAAGAGGTGTTTCAGGGATATTCACTGAACTTGAAGGAGTATGTGGGTCTGGTGCTGCATTCATTATTTTTTTAACATTTTTCTTAATATACCCACATCCTTGTACCCACTTGCTTTAGTGACATCTTTGTGGGACTTTGTGAGAATTTTCCACCTGTTACCATCGCTAATACTATCTGGACTTGTGCAAAAATCCAAGGAAGGCCACCTACGCAACTGCCTCCCTCAATCACTAGGATTGATCACGTCCTCCTTATTTCTTCTTCATGTTTTGCTTTCTGTGGAGTGTGATGTTATTTCTAGAAGTAAACCCCCTACATCCCTTTGTCATCAGAGCCTATTAGTGTCTGCAGGGGTGTGTCTGTGGAGGAGCGCTGCAGCTCTCAGTGACGGCACTGCAGGCTCACAAGCACCAGCAGGGCTCACTAACAGTGACACATGTAACACATGGCAGGTCCAGAATACTCTGGCCCATCGAAACCATGTGATAACTGGCAAAGCTCAGACTCAAACCAGGTTGGGCCTGGATTCTAGGCCCAACCTTTAAAATGAACCATTTGTGGAGCTCTATTGCATTAATTTCCCTTGCATATGGCAATTTAGCTGTTCTCAGGAAGAAATATCAATATTTCGATCAATAATGGCTCTATGACTTAGAGCACTAAAAATGATAACTTATGGTAAATACCCCCTCACGACGTCTGAGAATCGGCAGAAGTAAGGCAGTGTAGTGGTGCAAACCACTCATTTAAATCACAAAAGGAATGGGCATACAATCCATAATCAGTCAGGAATTTAATAAGAGCTTTCAGCAGGATGTTAATTGTATTACTGACTGGCACTTTACTCAATGACACTAAAATACTAAACTGTCGTAAGCTGCTAACTTTTCACATTACATATTCTGTATACAATACCTATTTTCTTCAAAACAAATTTGAGCCAATTCTTTTCTGAGTAAGCTGAGTAAAATCCACTGTGGGATTAATGGTTTCGAGGTTGTTTTTATCCTGTTAAAAATGCTTTTTTGTAGACAATAATATTGTACATTTCTCAGCCTTAACCCAGCACTTACAAGCAGAGTGCGTCAGTTCCCTGGTAAACTGATGCTTTATATATTATAACTCATATTATATCTGGGGCTTCACGCTTGGTCTGACTGAAGGCAACCCAGTGTTCTACACAGAGTTACTCCTACAGCTCAGCCTCAGTGATGTCTTGGACACCTCTGTGTGCATGGTGGACAGGGGAAAGTGCTCATAGTCCTCTTCCACAGGGCTACACTTGCAGTGCAGCACTACTGATTTCACCTCCTTTTTGAAGTTGTTGTTCAGGAAGCCATAGATGATGGGGTTCACACAAGTAGAAACCATGGCCATCAGGTGGCAGAGGGAGAAGATGAGGTCGTGGTGGCAGTACATGACCGCCTCATAGTTCCAATCTGCCACCATGTTGAATGTGTTGAGAGGCAGCCAGCACACTGCAAAGACAGTGACCAGAGACACCAGCATGACATTTATCCTCTTGCTGTGGGTCATACGTCGGTTGTCTTCACAGGTTCTGTCCAGCATGTCCTTGCGCTTACGTAGACGGGCATAGATCCTCACGTAGCACACCAGGATGAAGAGCAGAGGGGCACAGTACTGAAAGACCAGTAGCCACATAGTGTAGATCAGCTTTTGCTGATGGGAGGGCCAGTTTTCCTTGCAAACTGCCTTGTCTTCCAAAGAGGCAGTGAGAAGCGACAGCATCTTGAAGGGCTCATCGGTCAAAATGTGGAAGGCCAAGAATGGCAATGAAATGAAGCAAGCGAGCATCCATATGATGACGACAGCAAGGTACGCTTGAGGCACTGTGGGCTTCCAGCCAGCCGGGTTTATGATGAGCTGGTGCCGCTCCAAAGCGATTAGAACAAGGGACAGGATGGAGACAGTCACAGACATGCACTGCACAAACGGCATCATCTTACAGAGGACCTCGCCGAAAATCCAGTAGTCCATTAGGGTGTAGACCACTGTGAAGGGCAAACAGAATGCACACACCATGATGTCTGAGAATGAGAGGTTGGCAATGAAGATACTGGTGACATTGGCCTTCTCTTTCTGCTTGGCTATAACACAAATCAAGCACACATTTCCCACCAGCCCCACAGCCATGACACTGCAATAGGAGGCCACCAGGAAGACAGTGACCCCGGGTGAGACGTTACAAGGCTCTTCCAAAAATGGAGGCAATGCATTAGTTGAATTGTTGAAAAAGAATGACTTATTCGTGGAGAAACCTGGAGGGACCTCATCCAGGCCAGGGAATCTGGTCCTGTTCATGGCACCCATCAGGAAAATTTCAGAAGACACAAAACTGCTTCCTCATTTCAAAGACCAGTGCAGAAAGGGAATGTCAGGGTGCAGGAAAGAAAGCATCTGTAGGCGGAGAAAGAAATAATGGATTAAAACGTAACTAAAATATTTTAAGGTTGTAAACACAATTTTAAGGTTAAATTTGTGCTTTTAACATTTTTAGCATTGTTTTGTTCTGAGAGGTTTTGTGCTCACTCAGTTTTGTTCTTTCTTGACCAATTCCATAATATTTTCAATAATTTAATGTGCCTTAATATTGTTGTGCTTAATTGTCAGGTACAGCCAAATATCACTCACAAAAGGCAGAGAACAATATTGATTTAGTATAATGTCAGATATACAACCTTTAAATCATATTTATTTGATGATAGGTTGTCTTTATCACAGACATTACGATATATTTTACAATTGACAAAAAAGAATAGGTTGCCACAGAAAGTGTAGCTATCATGCCTTTTATTTTTGTGTTTTATTTTTTTAACTTACTGTACTGTAAGTTACTTTAAGTAACTATTTTTTAACTTTAAGTTACTACAATATGAACGTTTTTGGAAGATTTGCAGAGGAGTTCTGGAAGAAATTGTTTAATCCCTCCATTGTAATAACTTTCACATGTTAAAGATGTTAAATGTCAAAAGTCATGTTTCCCTAGAAATAAAAGCCGGAATGTCAGCAATGTTTAAGGTTAAGAAGTGAGCCAAGAACTGAGGAAGGAAGGGAAAACAGGCTTCTAAATTTCATCATGTTATTGGGGGCTGTTGAATCTGAATGATGTAACTGTGTATTTTAGATACAATTGAAAAAAATACAGACTGTCGATAATGTTGTAGTGCAAATAGTTCAAAAATGAATATGAGGCCAAAGGTAGTCATCCATTATAAACCTTCCAATAAATGAATCATTGGATTACAACGTAATTATTTAATTAACCCAGATGCATAAAATGAGTTGTAAAATTAAAAATTAGCTGGGGCAAAGACATAAAATGCAATGGAAGTGCCAAGGTTTACCGCCTCTGTCACAGGCAATTAGAGGGACACTGCAAATAACCAGCTGGAATTTCAAAAGATAAATGAAACGACTTGCAGCTCTCTCTGTGAAGGAACTGTGCCTAGAGAGAGTTTTGGGTGAATAATTAATAACTTTAAAAGGCACTTTTTTCCATCCAGTTTACAAACTCACTGATGGATTGTATGTATTTTTTCCCCAGTCATTTTTTTCCTTGGTAGTTCTGACGGGTACAGTTGCTGCGTCAGCATGCGTAGGCTGCAAAGGAACAAGTAAAGGTTTATTCCCTGCTGGAAAAAAAGAAGAAAGAGAACACAACGTTTCGGCCGTGGAGCCTTCTTCACGTGTGAGCCTCACACCTGAAGAAGGCTCCACAGCTGAAACGTTGTGTTTTCTTTCTTCTTTTTTTCCAGCATGGAATAAACCTATTACTTGTATTTTTTTTCTTGGTACTTCTTGCAAAATACACATTATAGATTGATTATGAGTCTTTTACAAAATACTACATAGCCTTATTACCTCCCAGGCAGCATAGTTCATGAAAAGAAGATTAAAGTTTGTAAATGGGGTTGCATTATGACTTCAGCTCATTTTTCTGACTTCATCGTACTTAGTGAATTTATTGACCTTAAAGCATCAACATTATCGTCAAGCACATAACGTACAATCCCGGCCCTTAAAACCTTTTGTATTCCCTGTACAATGTTTCTTTATGTTTAATGGTACTGATGATACTTATGTTTACTAATGATACTTATTTGTATGTTTAAATTTCTTTTAGCTTCTACTGTGAGTCCATTAAATTATATTTTTAGCTTGCTAGACGTACTCTGCCTAGATATCAACTGTTTTATCACTTGAGCCTAAAATATATTGAAAACAACTGATAAACCATTAATTAAAGCCCTTCAGTTTGAAGCATGTTATTTTTTAAATGGGCAGTAAATTACAGTCTCAAGCCAAAAATCTCAGAATACTACTGCAAAGCCATACTATGAACATTCATACCCTGGAGGCTTCTAGGGTAGGCAGTAATCATATTTACAGAATAACAAATAAGGATTTTTTTTCACATTTTTATGAACACACCAGGCATTGGAGCACAGTGGATTATTCTACCGCCAGCCAGCAGCTGTAGTTCAGTATTTCCAAATATAAATATGAATATAACATTACTTCACACCTGACTATTTTATTTATTAGCTTTCAGCTTAACACATCAGCTTGCAGATGCAACTATTGTTCATGTTATTGAAATAAAAAATATACTGTCATAAACTGTCCAAAGGCTAGTGCAAAATAAGTTTGTCATTTGCAGTCTATTATCCTGATTTCTAAGCACTGCATAAATAAATCTGTTATAGCCTGTGTTTGGATTTTTAAACATAGTATTAAGAACAATCACAGTTTGAAATCATACTGTGTTCTCAAGCTGTGTGACTTAATGCTGTTTGGACAGTATTTGTTTTGAAATGTGTGTGCATTCTTCTTTGTATTCACAGGTATTTACCCAAATATTTTAAACTTTTCTAATTTACAGCTAAATCTGAGTGCAATGCATCTTGTGAAAAGCCATAATTATATTAACTTTAATTAATAGTAATAATTTTGTATTGTGCAATTTATTGTCCATATACTGTAAATAAGATACGAGCTGCTCAACACATTTGTAATGCAGAAGACAGGAGCTACACTACATGAATTTATTCACTACAGGAATTTGTCATTTATAATATGACATGAAATGCGGGTGATTTCTTGTCATTATTAGACATAAGTCACTTGGATATAAAATAAATAAGTCTAAGACCGAACTGCCAGATTGAATTCTTTTCTTAAATATAATTTCTAAAACGTCATGATAACAACAGGCACTGGGAATACATACAGTACAGTAAATTCATCCCGCAAACCTGTCAGGGGATGCAATACATATTTCACATACACATGGTTAAATAAACCTTCTTTGTATGTTAAATTGCAGTAAAATGTAATGAATGGTTTATATAGGGTATAGTAAAACAAATGGGAAAAAATCACAAAACAAAGTAGAAAGATGGTATAAACTTAGTAAATCCTGTAAAAATGTTGTGATAAAGTTTCCATTTAGCTTTTTAATATAGCTTATGAACTATGTTGTCTAGTTCTCCTGTTCGCAAGGTGACTTGTTGATTCTGGAAAGTGATGTTGCATATCTCTGCTCAGATACATAGATGCAAATGTTACAGAATAACAGTAAATGCAGTAAATGTAGTTTATTATTTGGTTTTCCTGCAGTTTATTTATGAAAAAGATTTAAAAACATCAAAACAATTTAGTTATGCTGGGTGTATTGTTTCTGGGGCATACAGTAGTAACACCTAGCTTTTGTTTTGTTTTTTTGTAAACTCTCAATGATATCAGATTGAAAGATTTTAATAGCGCAGCTATGGAGAACTCATTTATCATTTAATGAAGGCAGATGTGGAGGTGAGATTAAGTTCAATTGAAAATTCCAGTAACCCTCTTTTTAGAGTAGAAAATACTCCCCCTTAACCATAATTGAACTTTGACAAATGGATATGACATTTCCATTATCTGAATATAGCATTTTTCCATTCACCCTTGATTTGTTACGGCCTTTTTCCAAAATACATTTGATCACATTGAAATTGTATCACTGAAAGATCACCAACACAAGGATTCAGACAGAAGTTTTATTTCAATTAAACCATCTTATTTATGCAACTAACATCTTGTTCTTGTAATCTATGCATCCTCAGTGAGGCAAAGCTTTACACCAGAAAATAGCATATTTCTCTAAAAAGAGCACAGGAAGAGGAATAGTATCCAAATTAGTGTCAAACCAACAGATATTTTTTCCTGGTGCCTGACTCTTTTTCTCACACATGACTCCAAAGAATCTTGAAAGAGGGCAAGGAAAAAACAAACACATTCAGCATTAATCCAAGTTACTGTCTCAAAGCTTAAATAATTCTGTGCCTGTTACCATAATGGAATATAAGTTTGTGTCATCAAAGACCCACTTTGACAGCTGTCATTCAAATTATGATCACACTCATGTATTTATTTCCCGATAAGGACAGAACATGTTACATTCATTTTTGGGTCCTAGATACACAAACAAGAGACTAAACCAAAACAAATATAGAAGATGAAAAGGTGTTCTTTGTTTGAATTGTCCTGTGCTGATCATTCAGATTTTCAATGATAAATTGATATTCTGTAAATGACTACTCAGTGCTCTGTACTTGTTTTTGGTAAATGCAAATTTAGATGGAAAAATAACCTTTTCTTTTAGACAGGAAAAAGGCAGCAAAATATTTTACTTTTGTTTTTAATGAATATATAATTCTTACTACCATTTTAATAAGTCAAAAAATAAAGTATTTCCCATTGTTATTTATTTTTGTGAGCTGTATACTGTATATCTTACACATCCTATTTTGGTGTATTTTGCAGGTTCAGAAATAACTCCCCCTCCTCATTTTATTGCCCCTATTGATGCACTAAGCTGTAAGAGACAGGACTTGAGTGTGCCCTGCCAACATAGACAGTAGTAAATACAGTAAGTAGACAGACAGCCACATACACAAAAATACTCAGTATATGACATATTTGATTTTCAAGACATTCCTTTCTGACATAAAGCTTAAGTTCAGCAGAGAAATAAAACTTACCTGGAAATGGTTGAAAGATCATGTTATCACAAAGCTTGAATATTCATTAATGTGTTTCAGTATTGCCAAAATAATGCTGAGGCAGGGGAATCAGATGTAGTGCAGTTCCTTGAAGACTGCTCTGTTAATACAACCAGTCTCTTTTTGTGCGCATTGCATATTGGAACACTCCTGGATAGTGAAGTGTTCAGGCAGCAGCATGGAGCAGTATTCTGAGAAGATTTAGACTTTCACTAGAGCTCCACTGCCTTCTAGTGGTGTCACAAGTATTAAAAAATACTGTACACAGCTACTGTATAATACTGTATGTCGTGGGAGCAAAGTAACACTTTTTTCTAATTGAAGGAAAAGGTTAATTTTGAAATGATCTTTTTTGAAAGCAATCTTAGGAGGGAGAATTAGAGACTAAGGTTTATTGATTTTTTTCTTTCTCCATTTCATTGTATTTGTATCTGCCAGACAAAGGCAACCCCAGGTGATAACCATTTATCACGGATAAATTACTGTACATTGCTTTCCTGTTAATATCACACAATGGTAGTAATAATGGCTTGTATGCAAATTAGCACTGCCACCTCAAAGCTCTTGGTCCCTGGGCCCTGGGCTTGATGGAAGCCTCCTGTGTTTCCCTGGGTGCTCTGGTTTTATTAAACCACAACATTTCTATGTTTATATGTTGAAAACGCACTCATTTTTTATCACCCATGTCTTCTTTAGTAGTAATCATGCATGACCTGCAAACCGCAACCCAGAAGATCTATACAGTAGTTATATATATATATAACACGTGCTAGCTCGGTTATTTGGTGTCTCTAAATCTGCTTGTCGTTTTTGCGTGAACATGCCATGGACTGGAAATGCAGTTTTCTCTGAATGGAGAATTGTGTAACTCAATGTTTCTGGGGTGTAACGTTTCAACCTTTATCTGCAGACAAAGCACCAAAACTGCATTGTCTGAGATGCGGCTCTAGTGGTTCCTCTTTCCCAGGCTGGGATGTTTTGACACAGGAGAAATATAAGCAACACAGGCATTTTCCTTCCATACTGTTACAAAAGAAGACAAAGGTTGCTTAGCCCTGGTCTTAGACATCTGTTTGCTGCCTTGTTCTTCTCTTCCCAATAATCTTGCACAGTGATGAATGTTTGTTCACATTTACATACAAACCCATGTCCAATCCTGATTAAAGACGTATGAACTAGTCTGAGCGTGCCGATGCGATGTGAACCTTCATTTAATTAATTATCGCATTGTGGTATTGGAGAAATTAAATAACAAAGCTGCGTAAATGATAAGGAAAACATTAATCATGCAAATTGCATTTTAGCCTTGACTACTCAGGAAACCAATTCAAAGAATTATTCTAAACATTCTAAACATTTGTGTTTCTTCTTTTGAATGAATTTGATTGTGCAAGCTTGTTGGTTTATTACCATCTCAAAGTCTGGAGAGGATTCTATTGCTATAATAATCCTAAAAGAGACAGCACACAGTATATTTTTTGAAACCGTAAAGAATTACCTTTTAAACGGTTTATTGCATAAGAAGAAACAGGCTTATTAAAAATTGGTTAGTATGTAAAGTATCTAGACTTCTAGCATGTTAATAACAGGGACATGTTGGATGAAATTCAAAAATTTCTTTCTAAATTTAATTGAAACACATTAAAAAACTCAATCTCATTTTACAGGTCATTTGTTTAGATGAGAGGTTATCTGTCCCTTGATATTTTCCATAAAATTAATAGTTAGATCAGTTACATACTACACACAAGCAGGACTAGGGAAGAACATGTTATGACAATGAATAAGACACAAAAGCTTGTTAGTGCTTTGCCTTTAGAACAAAAGCTTGTTTCTAGTCTTAAGGTATCATCTGCTGCTGATGAAAGCTGATGTGTGGTGAGCGTCCTGGTGCATTATAGCTGCTGTCGCATCATCCAGGTGGATGCTGCACATTGGTGGTGGTGGAGGGGAGTCCACATTACCTGTAAAGCGCTTTGAGTGAGTGTCCAGAAAAGCGCTATATAAGTGTAAGAAATTGATTATTATTACCCTGAGTGCTTCACAACAAAGCCCAGATTAAATCCAGACTACCAGCCAGCCGCCCACGAGAGCACAGCAAAGAGCGGGCTCCCCAGGCGGAGAGGTCAGGATACAGGCAGCCGACAGTGAAGTCCGGGCAAGCAGGGAAACACGAGTGGACAGAGAACTGAGGGAATAGAAGCAGACCGGGAACGATAGGAAGGCAGGAAGAACTCCGCTGGGACACCGCCGGCTGGTAGTCTGTAAGGGAAGGGAAAGGGCTGAATATCGCCAGACAGAATTTAAATAATCCGCAGCACCTGATTGACTACCTATTGCAGTCGGACGCTACGAGTGTATTTGCGTCTTCAACAACAGGTGCAGGGCGGGCAGGAGGGAGGAGGCGTGGCTCGCAGCTACTACAGCTGCACCTGACCCGCAGCTTCACAGCGGAGTGGTGATGACAACAGACTTTAATATTTTTTCCCTGTCCATGGAAAAGATTAAGAAAAATATAGAAAGGGCTCCAAAGCTAATTGTAATAGGATATACTGCACGTGTGTTGCCGTGCATGGCATAATGTGGCCTTCGGATGTAACATCTCCAGAGATGACAGGCTTGACAACGTATTAGACACACAACCTAAAGAGTTAATATCTTGCTTTGATCCTTATTGGTCATTGTGTGCAGTCATTTACTGCACTCGCTGGCTGAATCGCTAGATCTGCTTTCGCGGATATGTTTACATAACAAGGAACTCAAAATAGTTGGGTGTGCCCTGATTCCTCTGCTAATATTGACTTTAAACGTCAATCCGTCTCCAAATAAAACTAGTGTTCTATTCCAAGTCATTTCTGAAAGATTACAAACAGATATTTAAAAAGACAATGTTCTGAAGGAGAGAGAAAGGCAGACCAGGTACAGAGAAAAGGAGAGGCTTCAGCTACAGAACTGCGAATCTTAGAAAACCCAAATCACAGAACATACAGTAGCTGTGCATGACTTCCATCAATATGAGACACATTCATATGCTAGTTTTGTATAAACGTGGTATTTAAATTATTACACTGCCAAATACATAAATTAGAAAGACTTTTGACACAAAATTAGTTCAATATATATTTATTGACAAAAAGGAATAATTACAGTCCCCTTGAGTTAGACAGCAGTAAAGAATTAATGTTGTAGCAGAAAATAGAGAGGAATATATTGTAACTCTTGTGAAAAAACTTAGTTGCTGAAAGGTTGTTGCCTCTGATACCATAAAGAATGCTCAGAAAAGCAGCAGTCATATCATTTACTTTCTGAGAGACAGGGCTGCCTGCCTCCCAACCAGAAAAACAAAATGTCACACGGTTAAGTAAATATCACACCCATAAACAGATCTAAATTAAGTAGATCATGTTCTGTGGTGCTGTTTCTTTTTTTTAATTGATTCTGTTGCAAGAACAGCACAAAAAGCACATTTAAAGCCAGTTAACAAAATACTAATATATTGGGTGAATTTAAGTAATTAAACACATCTAAATATGTACATATAAATGGGCAACTGACTTCGATTATACACATTTGTGCAATAGTAATATGACATGAAACTAATATCTTTCTTTTTATATCATAGCACAATTATTATGTATAGAGATAACAAAGTAACATCATATGCCATCCTAATATCTGATATCATTCCCAGTTGTTATTGCCAATTTTCCAAATTAAATTAATGATAACATTCTGTAGTTAAACGTACATTACCCATTTCCGCACCATTCTTTGCTATTTGTTGTAAATGTATTTTGGGCATCTCAACTATTTAAGAAAACAAACTTTGCAATATACACATAAGGTGTATTACATAAGTCACACTTGTACGTAACACATTTTTGATGGTGCTAAGAAATTTTTTGTCCTTACCCTTGTGACGTCTGAGCTTTTTATGATTCCACAGTAAATGGGTATTGCCTTGAGAAGGATGAATAATTGATATTATTTTATAAGTTATAAGTACTACACAGAGGGTCGGCATCCCAGATAAGATTTTTAGAGTTGTAAACACTGGTCAGTAGATATACTGTATATAGCACTTTAAAAATATTGAAATAAGCTTGATGTAATTGGGAGGGACTTCAGTGGCCCCATGCAATTGCAGCAGATTTGCCTTCAAAAGGAAAAATTCAAATTTAAAAAATACAATAAAAATAATGTTTTCATCTAGACAGGATTGAAAACAGATTGGACACATGGAACTGGAACTAAATAATGTTCAAATTTTGTTTTTCAAAGTCAAACAACTTTTACAGTGTGTTTTGTACCAGAAATAGAAAAGCTACTAATTTATTTTCCTATTGAAAATACATTTAAAATATTTTGTAAACAAATTGGAATTACTGGTTTTCCCCAGAAATGAAAGTTGCAATTTCTTGGGGAATTGGACTGACTCTGGGTATTTTTTTCACTTGAAAAATTCTGTTACAATGGTATTAGAATGAGGATGGAGTTCAGGCCAGACTAGGGTTAGAGTTACGAGACCCAGACAATTCTGACATCTATTATACTTCTTTTTCCATTAGAAATGACAAATTGGTGAGAGTTTCCCAATAGCATCCATTTTCTTCACAGTTTTATTTTGATGTACTTTTGTATGATGATTCCTGCACTGTCTAGTCCGGCAGTAAACCAGCACTAAGTATGTGAAAAACAAAAATAATGCTGGGCAAAAAGTAACATTGTTTCTAAACTTTACTTGGGCCACAAAGTATAGCAACGAGGTTAAAAATATTCAAGTACTAACAGAATCCTAACCCTAACCCTAGCTGGGGTTTAAACTGAATAATTCTGCAATGTGTCGCTGAAGCCCTCCATTTAACAGATGTAAAAAAATGTTCCTGAAACCAAGAAATAGAAACATAAAATTCAAATCTGTTCATAAAATCTCTTTTAAAGCTATCTTCTTCAATAATGAGCCAAATCTGAGTTTTTTTTTTTACTTAAAATATTCTGTTACAATGGTGTTGAAATGAGGATGCAGTTCAGGCCTGACTAGGGTTAGGGTTACGAGACCCAGACAATTCTGACATCTATTATACTTCTTTTTCTACTTGAAATGACAGGCTTGAGAGAGGAAGCCCAATAGTATTCATTTTCTTCACAGTTTTATTTTGATTTAGTTTTGTAACACAATTCCTGAATTGATAATGCATTATAAGCATGTATATGCATCTGAAAAACAAAAATGAAGATTGGCAAAATATACGAATCTATAAATGTCTGTGATCGAATAAGGGCTAGATTGCAATTTAAGTAAGACTAGTTTTTCACTCTTGACTATGAAACACGTATTGACAGTTTTGGATACGTATCCAAGGTCATGTTATCTTCAGTACTCATTGAGAAGTCGTAACTTTTGACTAGTATGTTTGGGAAAATTGCTTGACAGTGATTTAAAATTTAATAGTATCTGTCTGCTTGTAAGTAAATACTATTTTTACAGTGCTCAAGGAGTATGTAGATGGCAAATGTAAAGCATATATAAATGCATTGCAGAAATATCTGCTTTTCTGCAAATAAAAATGTTAAATAAATTATTCTTCTTAACAGACCTTCTATATTTTATTGTATGAGAAATCAGATGTGCCCAAAGCCACAGTTCAACAGAGCTGCGCAAGCCATTCCCATAATACAGAAATAGGCAGCAAGCTCAGCAGTCTCTCTACAGCAGTTTAAGTGGATTGAGAATCCTGCTCCACTGGTATTTGTCATCCTAACAGTATGCCTTTCTTTCAGTAAAACTGGATTAACATGTGCTACAGTGAACATTAAAAAACATGCACATGTGTCAGGTTTATAAAAATAAAGGTATTAGCATGGAAAATCTATCGTTAAAAAAAGACAATAGTGAACAGAAATAAGCTCGCCACGAGAAGGAAGTACAGGGTTATGTAATGTACAGTATGTAATTAGTAGATCTTCTTGTTTTCGTTGCTTTATTATTGCTATTGTTTAATTATGTACAGCTTAATTATTATACTGTACATGGTTTTACAATTTAAACATGAATCATCTGCTTGTCTAATACAATAATGTCTGTTCATAAGTGAAATGGGAAACATACAAATTCTGTTTGGACGAGTAACAAATTTGTTTGTAAATAAGGACCGGACATTTTAATTCATGTCACCTGAACCAGACACTACATCATTTTTATGATCATCATCATCAAAACAAGGCTATTAAAACCTTGAAACAAAACAAACACAATGTTGTGGTGAAATGATATACTGTAAGGTTTAATTATGATTACTTATGTACATTCAGTTTTGATCCTTCTAGTTTCAATTACTTGTATATCCCTGGTTCCAGAGGATCCACCACTAGGAGAGTACCCTTGTGCCCCCCTGCTAATGAACGATCCTTTCAAGAGCAACACCTGTGCCTTTTGTCCCCTCCACAAGTTTGATAGCTCCTCCCATTGCCCAGATGGTGTTTCTTCACTGGGTCCAGGAATTCCAGTTGCCGATCTTGCGATCTTATGTATGGTTCGCAAGATCAATGTGCTTCCTTTTATGTGCACACTGCCCAAGCTTGGCCCTTGGTTTAGATGTCTCACATCATTAGAAGTTTGTCACTTAAGTGGGTGGGGGTATTGTCATGCTCACCCTCACTCAGGTGCAGCAGGGTGATCTAGCATTGACGTGACCAGCATTGGTTGCCACGGAAACCTATTAACAGGAGACTTGGATTACCTGGAGATGATTTATGACCATGCCCTTTTCAGTTGTTTTATTCTCAACCTTGTTCCTGGTTCATCCCCGGCTTGTTACTTCTCCATATTTACTTGGCTTTGAACCCTGATAGCATCTATGACACCCACTTGTATAACCCTTGTGACTTACTGCAGTGCTTCCCTGGATCTGACTCTCCACTTGCTCTGCCCACCTCTCGGATTCCCCTTTGTGCCGTGGACTGTGCTTATAGATAGATAATAGATAATACTTTATTAATCCCATAGGGAAATTGATGAAACCCTTATGATCTTAATACTTAATGATCTTCAAGTATATTACACAGAATGGCTTTAGAATCAAAAGTAAAAACCTCAATCAAAATAAATGACCTTAGGCTTGTTTGTATTTGATTACTGCATATATTTTTTCTTTCTTCAAATTTATTTTTAATTTAAAATAGCCAAGTTTTTGACGTATTAGAAATATAATATAGAATTATTTATATTAAACACAATTGCATCAAAAGCAATAAGAATTATAGATTTGTTCTGGCTTTATATATATATTAAACCATTTAATACCCAGATTTTGAATATAAATTCGCTGTATGCTGTTACCAGGTTTGCTTTTAGACTGAGTTTCAGTTGAATATGTACAAGATTGTCATCACATTTATCAATACCTGGTGTCGTGTATAGAGCCTGTTTCAGGTTTAAGGAAACTGTCTGGTGGATGTATAACTATCAATCAGTATGACATGTGTTTTGAAGTCTCTAGACAAATATGTTTGTCCATATTTTAGTACCTATTCTAGTTACATATTATTATTTCACTTTTGTAAGTAATTATTTTACAGTCTTCCATTGGAAGATATCTTTCTTCCTTTTTCTTTATATCAACAAATATGCTTTATCTGATTTTATCAGCATCATCACTCGACGAATATTAAACTTTACTGTTAATTTGTGGGAATATGGAAACATTAGTCCATTAAGATATGAAATATGTTTATGAAGCCTTACATTCTGTATTTAAAGACATCACAACAAGGACTGCAAACTACTACATTTTTACTGTTTCCTTTTCCAGTCAATGCAAACTGAAGCAGTTACTGAATTACAGTATATTACCCAAGTTCTCATATGAATTAGTATTCATGGATATCCAGTGTTGTACTCGTCTCTTATGGTTTAACATGGTTATGCACAGAAGAGAGAAGACAAATGTTAATGGACAATGCCAAGTAGAGTAAGGAGGACCTACAGTAGGAGAGAACAATGTTTATAGCCTGCTGAAAATTTATTTGATTTCTACTGTTTGGGTAGATTACAGCCCATTTTCATTGAAACCATAAAGCTCACACAAGTGCAACAACCGCATATTGATTCGAAATGCATGGAAGAAAGCAAAACTCTTGTGCAACAGAGAACCAACAGCTAAATATTAAAGCAGGTGGAAAAAGTTTGGATAAAGGTCAAATCCACAACATTTAACTGCACTCCTTGGAGTGATCATTCTTCAGGACAAGTTTCCAGGTGCAATCCTTCTTGTTCACAATCATCTCACATTGAGGTGGAAATTGAATTGCAGTTGGAATTCTGTAAGGGAAAAGAATCAATAATACAAACAGATGAAATGAATTAATGAAAGAAATAAAAAGGGGAGCTCAAAGCAAAATTCTCCATGATGCCTTGTTCTGTTGTTCAGCTTTTTGAAAAGCTAAGTTATCTTTGTGAGAAAAACAGCACACACCTTAGAACAAGTTGATTCTATTTCAATAAGTAGTTGAATTATCTTAAATATTTTAGGATCTATATAGATCAGAAGATCTTAGTTCCTTGAACAAACAAACAACGGTAGTAATGAATACAAACAGAGCAAATTATATGGTACATTTAGATTTTCAGATGGCTTTAGAGAAAGCACCTCAGGCATAATTTGAATTATGAACGAGTTAATGGTCAGGAAACAGTCCTTTACAGATAAGAGGTAATTAGTGGAGTAATATGGGGATCTCTTCATTGATATGAATGGTGTATATTCTGGCATAGAAAGTAAACTACTGAAGTTTGTAGATGATATCAAAATAGAAGGTTCAGCAAGACAAGAATGTAGCAGGTGCAAAGGGAATTGAAAAAGAATTCAAGATCGCTCAAATACCTGACATTGTTTAATAAAAACAAATGCAGATTGTTGAACGGCGGGCAGAACAAATATACAGTAGGCTACAAATATAAAAGGAGAAATACTGAGCTTGAAGAACCAACTTATTGAAAATACTTATTTATTATACATATATTTATTATACATTTATTTTATTAATGTCTTCTAGACAGTGTGTGAATCTATACTATAATGAAATCCAGTTAAAGTATTCAAAATCCTCAAAGAAATTGAGAAAGTCAACACAGTGGACTTTGTCCAGATGTTGTCCTCAAAATGAACAGTGAAACTAGAACTAGGGGACACGAGTGGAGTCCTTCTTTACCCAAGAGATTGTGTATGGAACAAGCTACCTAGCCATGTGGTTAAAGTCAATAGCCTAGCATCTTTTCAAGAAACAGTCTTGAAAAGAGACTATGAAAGGATCCAATGAAAGTATTCAAAATACTCAAATGCATTAATAAAGTTAATCAAGGCAATGCAGTCAACAGCGAAATTTAAATTCCTCATGTTTCCCTTTCTTGTTCGGGGAAGTTTTCTAAATGGATATTTCCTTTAAAAAAACACACAAATGGGAGCTTCAGAACAAGTACAAATGTCTCTTTAGTGTTATTTTTCAGTTTTTAGCTTTCTTTAAGAGCCTTTGGCTGGTTGGATGGTATTGCTGTCAAACTGGTGTTGCAGCCTGTGGTGCAGACATCCTAAAGTACAGACTTCATATTCAAATCATTCACATTAAAGGGATTTTCATTCCTATTATGCAGACTACCTTGTTGAAACATTTCCTTTTGGTAATTCATCATATGGACTAAAGAGATATTAAGTTTCCAATTTAAGATGTTATTTTGGGAGGTACTGCTACTAGTCAGGTGATGTGACCTATCTTTTAAAACAAATTTATAGTGAGGCTAAGTTTGTTTAGAAATTAACCACATTCAGTTATTTTTTGTGAAATGCTTAGAAATAGAAGAAACACTAGTTCACACTGACCATGACTCTCTAGAGTCTCTCCGGGCCAGGCAAGAGTGCCAAGCTTTGGTATTTGAGGGTATTTCATTAGTCTTTAAATTTATAGTTTCTCAACAATAAGCAAAGGGTTTGACTTGTCCACTAATGTGAATAAAGAGCTCAATAATATAGGGCTCAGGTTGAAGGAATCCTGGACTCCCCTAGATGCCTTCTAACACTACAGGACAGAAGGTATACCTCTCTCATCTGGATTATTCACCATGCTAATATTCCTATCATCTCCAGTGACCACAGCAGCTACCCTTTGATTTATCGCAGGGGGTTCCAACTTACCTGTCCATATGACCTCACTGTCATCCCTAAAAGCAATCTAAAATAAGCAATATTTGTTTTTAAATATAAGCAAGCCTGGGAAAAGATTAATGGTTCCAACTCAGAATGAAAACTCCAGTGACGTCAGATTCAAGAATTAAGATATTTAGTCATTTAGAGCAAAACATGTTTTGTTAAACGAAACATCCTGGGAAGAATATTGCATTTCCGATTTGTGATAACAATTTAGTTTTGTAATAGGTGTTTAAAGACCAAGCTCCAGGGTACAGCAGTACTATAGGACAGACTGTGAATTAGAAAATAGAACACAATTAAGCAGAAAGCTTTTGTTCTGAAAACTAGTTTTTTATTATTTCTGGACAGCTTCCGTCATTGCTTGTAACGATAAATTACTGTGTGATGTGAAAATTGAGCATTAGGGTTTCTGATGAAGTGTACAGCTGTAATGAGACACAGGCTTTAATATGTTAGTCATGCTTTTATTTTTGTTGCACAAATTAATGCATTAATAAAGTTAATCAAGGCAATGCAGTCAACAGCGAAACATGAAGAAGGGTGCATGATAGAAACTATTTAAAAATGAGAACAGGAGGCATGGGAGTCTGGAACAAGCTACCTAGACGTGTTTTTGTATGCAACACCATCTTTTTTAAAAAGGTTCTTAATTCTTAATATGTTCTCAATATATCTTTTCAACAACAGGAACCATAAGATACAAACATTAAATCTTTTATTAAGCTGTTAATTAATGTACAAAATTAGTGAAGTCATGTGAATCATTGCAAAACAATTATTTAGGAATCAGGTTAAAGAGCAATGAGCACAGAGAAGAATGAAAATACCTACTTGTTACAACAGGAAATGCCGTGTGTACTGCATTCACAGTCATAGCAATTCCTTATCCACTTGGAACCAAATTCATGAAAATCTCCATCCATTCCTTGACAACCTACAATTTACAGAAATTAATTATGCATGTTTTTTGAATTCTCAAATGTGCAATTCTTTCTGCTGTATTCAGGTCATTGTTGGAAAAAACATAATAAAAATTAAATAGAAAAAGAACTACAATTGGCTTTTAAGGCTTAAGGGCCATATAAAGCTCACCTTTTACAAAAGGCAAGAAACAACTCCATTTATTCTTTAAATGTCTTCCTCCTGTTGAAGGTGTGGGCTTTAAAAGTCCAATGTAAACTATTCTTATTAGCTCTGGACAATTTGTTCTGGATTTTAACAAGAAAAAACTAGAGATGTAGCATTTAGTATTTCACACTGTAAGACTGTCAAAGCCTAAGCTTTATAGCTCTGGTATTTGAAGTCACTCAGTAATCCCTATGGGATTGTTTACATTGCTACACAGTGAGTGGTTATGAAATCAAAGTGTCAATATGTATATATGTTAAAATACCCAAAGTATAATACAGGAACATATTTCAATTTAAGATAGTTGGTGGGAATCTAACCTGGATTATCAAATTGCATTAAAGGTATTACTGTCTGCTTAGGTAAAACGATAATTGATACTGTTTCATTGCCTTATTAAAGTTCACACTTCAATATATTGTATGCACTGAAGGCTTCGCCTAAAATTAAAGAAAGGCTTTAAAAACAACATTTTCTAATATTTACCTAAAACAAGTCTATCAGAATGATTGCTTTGATACTTTCTGTCGTCATAATGTGACATCACAGAGGCGTGTACTTGCCCAGTTTGGGTAACTCCATGTAGCAGTCTCCTCTTGCCATGGCCACAGTGGCAAGCAGTCCAGCGACAAAGCACAGCAGGTGTTTCTGTGCAGATGAATAAATACATAGGTGGGGTTATTCATCCCTCAAAATATGCCAATATTATTTTCTTTTTAGCTAAAAAAAGACATTCAAGGCCAAGAAGAGTGAAAGACATGCATGTCTGAATAAATGGTCATAATCTTCTTGCTAAATGGCTACTATAATAATTACTTTAGCAACAAAGATGATCTGTCTTAGACTCTTAGAACTGGACCTCAATTACTGTATCTGTTGTTCGGGACTCACTTACTGTACCTAAAGGAACCATAGGTAGTCCAGTATTACATGCTAGTCATCATTTGAGTATCTACTGCTTACTGCTGATTAACATCAAGCAACTCCCTGTTTCCACTGAAATAAATGAACAGGTCAGTGCTTTTCATCATACTGTGCAGTTATTGTGTACATATACTATTTTGTTATTTCATTTATTGAACCATTGTATTATTAAGCGTTCCATATTTATTACCCGTATTACCATTATTTAGTAATGGTAATACAGAAACTGCTGTAAACTATATGTAATTTCTTTGTTATAGAACATAGTGGGATTTTATTTTTTTATGTATGTAATCATGAAACAACACTATGAAAAATGATGAAGAATTACGTTCTGAAAGGTGAATGTATCAGAAGTTCATTTTAGTAGAAACAGAAAGTAAATTTGGTTTAACCAACTACAAAGACAGACAGGATTCTACACAATGCAACAATTGTAGAATACGTAATACAGAACATGGAAAAACTGGTGATTCATGAAAAGCCAGATGATAAAGCCAAATCTTTTTCTGAGTTTTAAAAATAGGTCCTGAAATGAGGATAATGTAAGGAACTTCACCAGCTGTGTAAATAGAATGAAAAGCTCCTTCTCCCACAGTTTACAGTCTAGTCTCAGGGATGGTCATGCCTGCTGTTTTCTTTGATTTTTAAATAGAAAAACGAGCCCCAGCCAAGCTTTGAACTTACCATTCTGAAGTTCCAAGGTATGTTTTAAACTGTAGTAGCAAAAGGCTCTAGACATATTTATACATACACCCCCCGCCCAAACCTTAATGACGTATTATACCATATGCAAATAAATAGAACATTGCATCCTTGAATTGGCGGACCTCCTGAGTTAAAGTTCACATTTAATCACCAAGGGTGTTGTAAAATATATTTTATACATGCAAATACAGGCAAAACATTGCACATATCTTTATCTTTTTAAAAAGAAAATATTGCTCAACTGCAAACACAGCTGTCTCTACTGAGCTGTGTTTTGGCAGCTGTCAGGTTCAACCCTGTTCCATATCCTATTCACGGGCTTTAGTTAGAAATGTTTTAATTTTATAAATATCACGTGTACTGTATTTAAATTCCTCATGTTTCCCTTTCTTGTTCGGGGAAGTTTTCTAAATGGATATTTCCTTTAAAAAAACACACAACTGGGAGCTTCACAACAAGTACAAATGTCCCTTTAGTGTTATTTTTCAGTTTTTAGCTTTCTTTAAGAGCCTTTGGCTGGTTGGATGGTATTGCTGTCAAACTGGTGTTGCAGCCTGTGGTGCAGACATCCTAAAGTACAGACTTCATATTCAAATCATTCACATTAAAGGGATTTTCATTCCTATTATGCAGACTACCTTGTTGAAACATTTCCTTTTGGTAATTCATCATATGGACTAAAGAGATATTAAGTTTCCAATTTAAGATGTTATTCTGGGAGGTACTGCTACTAGTCAGGTGATGTGACCTATCTTTTAAAACAAATTTATAGTGAGGCTAAGTTTGTTTAGAAATTAACCACATTCAGTTATTTTTTGTGAAATGCTTAGAAATAGACGAAACACTAGTTCACACTGACCATGACTCTCTAGAGTCTCTCCGGGCCAGGCAAGAGTTCCAAGCTTTGGTATTTGAGGGTATTTCATTAGTCTTTAAATTTATAGTTTCTCAACAATAAGCAAAGGGTTTGACTTGTCCACTAATGTGAATAAAGAGCTCAATAATATAGGGCTCAGGTTGAAGGAATCCTGGACTCCCCTAGATGCCTTCTAACACTACAGGACAGAAGGTATACCTCTCTCATCTGGATTATTCACCATGCTAATATTCCTATCATCTCCAGTGACCACAGCAGCTACCCTTTGATTTATCGCAGGGGGTTCCAACTTACCTGTCCTTATGACCTGTCTGTCATCCCTAAAAGCAATCTAAAATAAGCAATAATCGTTTTTAAATATAAGCAAGCCTGGGAAAAGATTAATGGTTCCAACTCAGAATGAAAACTCCAGTGACGTCAGATTCAAGAATTAAGATATTTTGTCATTTAGAGCAAAACATGTTTTGTTAAACAAAACATCCTGGGAAGAATATTGCATTTCCGATTAGTAATAACAATTTAGTTTTGTTTAATAGGTGTTTAAAGACCAAGCTCCAGGGTACAGCAGTACTGTAGGAAAGACTGTGAATTAGAAAAGAGAACACAATTAAGCAGAAAGCTTTTGTTCTGAAAACTAGTTTATTATTATTTCTGGACAGCTTCCGTCATTGCTTGTAACGATAAATTACTGTGTGATGTGAAAATTGAGCATTAGGGTTTCTGATGAAGTGTACAGCTGTAATGAGACACAGGCTTTAATATGTTAGTCATGCTTTTATTTTTGTTGCACAAATTACATTTTCTTTTGGAAGAGCAGAGCAGTACTACATTATATTATCCGCTTGTACACTCTGGTATTGGTCTATTTCACAATAACTTCCTATGCAACATCTCTTTATATGATAGCTGTGTCCTTTATTTACAGTAGATATCCCTTTACATGTCTTGGAATGGTCCTCCTTTAGCACAATATTACGAGTAAAGGTTTCCATACCCAGCAATTCAAAACATTTCTCTGGAAGACGAGACAGAGGAGGGAACCTGATGAAACAAGAAATTATCATAAGATTTTTTCAAAATCTGCTATATACAGTAAATGAAGTATTTTTATTTGTTTCACACTTCTGTACTTTCATTGCAGATACTGTATATCATCTATAGTATCAGGGAGCTATATTATCATGAAGCCTTATCTTGTCCAACAGCATAAGGCGGGGCTAGGTTAACAATGATTTGGGGCATAAGACACCTTATAAGGTGTCCTAATATATGCATTATATGCAGCTAATACAGTATATACTGAAATTGAACCAATGAGTACTGGCACCCATAGTATTTGTTTTCCATTTTTAATGCTTCTCAGTATATTTCCATCCCATTCATAAAATGAATTTGACTTTCCATGTTTTACTTTGGAGATTTATTGCAATTAAACAGTAGTCAAAAGTATTTCAAATATAGACTGAGCATTGAACAAGGGTTTGCTGTATGTACAGTAGTTCCACTTAAATTGTGTGATCAGCCCCACCTGTTCAAGTAAACATTTCCAGCTACATGTTGAAGTGGAGAAGAAACATCCTTTCATTATTCTGATGTACTATGTATAAGCTCCTGTTAGATGCACAACTTTAAATGTTCCGTCAAATGTTTTCAGTAAAATGAGTCAACATTTTTTCTGCAGACTAGAAATACTGTACGTGAAAGAATGAACATTTTGACTTCTGGAAAGTGTGTTCACAGTCAGTTTTTTTAGAACTACAAAAAACCAAACAGAATCAACAGGACGCACTAAAATAAATGAAAATACCATAGAAAGCTTACTCCATTAATGAATCTTTGAAAATGTGATTTAAATATATATAATATATAAGTCCAAAGTGAAAAGAGCCGGAGTGCCCTTAAGGAGGAGGGACTACAATCAGTCCCATTATCAGTCTCAATCAGTGACATTATTAACACTTACATTTCTACAGTATGTACCTACAGTATATACTGTAGATCAATAACCTTTCTTTTCACCATCTGGAAATCAGTATGTGATGAATTAGACAGAAACACCTGTCTGTCTCCCACAGTGTTCTCTTGGTTAGGGGTTCTCAGTTTTGATTAAAAGCATTTTAAAAGCAGTTTCTGAGGGCAGAATCTTTTGAAAAATTGAGAATTGTTTAGTATGGTACAGTATGTAAGGGGATGCTGTAGAAGTGGGTCTTTTTATTTTTTTTGTAAAATAATGGAATCCTGAACATGGATTTTGAGAACTTTAATCAAACATTGTGATTTCAATTTTGTGAAGTGATGTCTTTCATACCCTAACTGTTGTTGGTTAGGATTTGCTAGTGAAGAAACTAAACCAAGAAATAGGAACTTAAAAATTCAAATCTGTTCATAAAATCTCTTTTAAAGCTATTTTCTTCAATAATGAACTAAATATGGGTATTTCTTTTTTCACTTCAAAACTTCTGTTACAATGGTATTGAAATGAGGATGCAGTTCAGGCCAGACTAGGGTTAGGGTTTAGGGGTTTAGGGGTTAGGTTTAGGCCAGAGGGCTTTTTCCTCTACTTTTGTATGACAATTCCTGCACTGTGTAGTACAGCAGTAATCCTGTGAAAAACAAAAATAATGTTGGGCAAAAAGTATCACTGTTTCTAAACTTTACTTGACCCCCAAAAATAGCAATGAGGTTAAAAATACTCAAGTACTAGCAGAATCCTAACCCTAACCCTAGCTGGGGTTTAAACTAAGTAATCCTGCAATTTGTCTCTGAAGCCCTCCATTTAACAGATGTAAAAAAATGTTCCTTAACCTATAAAACAGAAACTTATATGATCAAATCCATTCATCAAATCTCTTTTAAAGCCATCTTCTTCAACCAAATCTCAGTATTTCTTTTTTCACTTCAAAAATTCTGTTACAATGGTATTGAAATGAGGATGCAGTTTGTTACGCATTCCACTCTCGCCTCTGTTCCTTCTTGCATTCCCACGCGCACACCCTGTAAAACAAGCTCACGCCGTAAGTAAACGCCAATCACCTTTCTCTCCCGTCTCTATTTTAGTTCTCCTCTTTCCTCACTTCCCCTCTCACTATTGTGGATTCTCTTTAGAATAGCCGATTTTGCTTTTCTTCGGTATTTGATCTCCTTGCCTGCCTCTCGTTTTCGATTTCGCCTTGTGTTTTGGATTGCTTCTTCCTCGTTGTACTTCCGTGTTCTGACCTACTCGCCTGCTTCCTGGATTCGATTTTGCCTTGTGTTTTTGGATTGTTGCTTCCTCGTTGATTCTCTGTGTTCAGACCTACTCACCTGCCTCCTGGTTTTCGTTTTTGCCTAGCGATTCAGCTTAGTGTCTTTCTCTGAGTCTTGAGTCCTGCATAGGATCCTTTTATCCTATCAGCCCCACTCTTACAGAATAGTGAGCCAACATGGATCCAGCGGACCAGAACACCACCACCTTTTTGCAACAGCAGTCCCAGGCTCTTCAACAACTGACCACTGCAGTTCAACGCCTAGTGGACCACACCACCCGGCCCCCATGCCTGCCCCTCCCCTGGCTTGGACTTTCCCTCCTTGGAGCACCTCATCTCACGTCTGGCTGAAATTGACATCAGGCTCCAAGAACAATGCTCCCGACTTCAACCCCCTCCTGCCACCTCCCGCCTGACCTCCTTCTCCAGGCTGTCTTCTGAGGAGCGACGCCACCGACTCTCCCAGGGATGTTGCCTTTATTGCGGGGCTTCATGCCCTCTCTGCCCCCCCCCCCCCCCCGTACTTAACTGCCCTCTGCCAAGGTCAGTATTCTTGCCTCTTCTGCCTCTTCTGGCCTCTTTTTGCCCGCACTGGTTTCAGGGGATGGATTCAAAGAATCTCTTCTGGCTTTTGTTGATTCAGGTGCAGAGGAAAACTTCCTAGACTCCGGACTCACCACCACTTGGAATATTCCTCGCATCCCTGTTTCTCCCCCTATTCGCCTCCTCACCCTGGATGGATCCCCTCTCACTCTTGTTGAATGGCAAACAATTCCCCTTACTCTACGCATTGGCGCCCTCTGAACTGAGAGCATCCAATTACTACTCCTCCACTCTCCTTCCCATCCTCTGGTTCTTGGATACCCTTGGTTGAAGATGCACAACCCCCACTTTCACTGGTCCAACAGTGAACTACTCACCTGGGGACCC